TTCTGATACTAGAAAGTATTTAAATTTGCTATTAACTGTGTTTGCCTAATTATATATATTATTATTTATCATTAAATTATTTGTAAATACATAGTGTTCACCAATTTGAATATGGCATTGTTGATCCTTTTTTGAAAGTAGGCTGAATTCCTATAAACAACAAAAAATAAAAATCCAAAAGATTAAAGGAAATGATGAATTCAAAAACCAAGTAGGAGTAAATAAGTATAAAAATATTTGTCTTAGTACAAATACTGTTATATATTTCTTCTTTTATCTCTACCCTTTTAGCTTCTTCAAGCTTCTCTTTTTTGACTTTAATACTTAGTAAGGCCAACTTTTAGCTAAAATATTCAAGCTATTGTCTATTTCAGCTTTCTGCTACTTATTGTCTAAAAGATCTTATGAGACTATATATATTACTTCTTTAGAACTAATATTTTACTGAGTTTCATTAAGTTTAGTACTTGTTTTATAAAAAAGTTTTTGCTCTAGTATTAGTTTTAATGATCAGCAAAAAGAGATTGTTAATAATAATTAAAATTGTATATATGACTTGTTATATATTTATTATATAATTATAAATCCTATAAAATTACTATATGTATAACTCTATAATAACAAATTAATAAAATCTAATTAGCTAAGAAAGTAGTCATAATAACAAAAAAAAAAACTAAATTGTTTATAGCAAAATAAATATTAAAATAGTTTTTTTTTTTTTTGTTATTAAGATGGCTTATATTGCTGAAGAAATTTTATTAGAATTGCATATGGGATATATATTAATAGTCTTTACTATTTATAATTATATGAAAAGTGTACAACAAGCCACACATACAACTTTAGTTATTGTCTAATTTAAGTAGTCTGTTGCATAGGCGAGTAGACTATCCGATTAGTTCTACACTATACTGCTATACCTGTAACCTGCCTGTGAGTTACCTATTTAAACACTCTGTTCATTAATCCATACAGATTCAACCTAATATCACTACAACACCTAACTGCTTAAGCTAACTATCTTGTTACAGATCTATTTATCTAGAATGGCTTAGGTCCTCTCAGGATACATTATACCTAACACATTGTAAGTATCGTAGAGCCAGTTAACCTCGAAGTATATCTACTAGAGTAGTCTATATCTATTTTATGAATTCACTTAGCTTAGACCCTTGTAGATATTTGTACAACCCCAGTTTCTATCTTGGCTCTCTACTAGTTTTTTGTATTCTATAATCTCAGATGTTTTACGAGGCAGACTCTTCCAATCCAGTTAGCTACTAAGCCAAATTGGTATTACCGATCCTCCAAGTGGACTAGATTTATATGCATCTGACTCAATCTGCATCTTTTAATAATAGTTTCTTTTCTGGATCAAGTGTTAGCTAGTATGACTGTTGAAGGCCATACTACTTTATCAACTCAGAATTTCTACTATGCAGATCCCCTGCCTGTAGATCCTATCAAGATTTATTCATGTAATATTACGTCTCATCAAACACTTTGTCATATATCCAATATCTGGATGATATTAGTACAACATGATTTACAGGGTTACAACCCTAGAAATGGACAGGATTTACTGTAAGTTGAGTACAAAGATCTGGGTAATTATTCAAATTCATCGATAGTGAGATTTGAACCCCAGACCTCTTGCATAGCAGTCTGGCAACCTAACCACTACACTAAGATCACCAGATCTAAATATTAAAATAGTTAAAAATATTATAAAATAATATATATTATAAATAAAATAGTAGGATTAATAGTTAAAAATACTAAATACTAAATATAATTTCTTTTTGCTAATCACTAAAACCAACACTAAAGCAAAAACTTTTTTATAAAACAAATACTAAATTTAAAGAAACCTAGTAAAATATTAGTTCTAAAGAAGCATAAGATATATAGTCTTATAAGACCTTTAAAACAATAAGTAGCAGAAAGCTAAAGCAGACAATAGCTCTAATATTTTAGCTATAAGTTTGCTTTGCAAAATATTAAAATTAAAAAAAAGAAGCTAGAAGAAGTTAGAAGTTTAGAAATAAAAGAAGAAAGATATAATGGTATTTGTACTAAGACAAATACTTCTACACTTATTTATTTCTACTTTTTTTTTTTTTTTTTTTTTTTTTTTTTTTTTCAACAAGCTGTTCGCAGATTTTTATTAAGTTTTTTTTTCAAGTTACATTTGTTAGTGAGGATACAATTGGCTATATGTACAACTTTAGTTTTTTTTTTTTTATATGTTTTGCTATATAGGTTACCTACCAATTGCTATACCTAATATCTGTCTGTAGATACTCTATTAAAACCCTCTGGTATTATAGTAAAACTCTATTTTTAACCTAATATTTATATATTTACACTAATTTTATGCTGCCTTATTTGAGGACTACTAAGACCAACTTGTGCCTCAAATTGTCTTTATAGGACTGAACTCTATCACAAGGTACCCACCTGTGTCCTATTCCAGTAAGAGCTTGTGAATGACTCCAACTATGCTATGCTATATCCCAATTAAGCTAGCATATACTCTTATTGGTATTCATACGAACTCAGTTTCTTCTGTAGCTCACCACTAAATTGGTTTAGTTCTTTCGAATGTTTCATGAGATAAATCCTCCCAAATTCAGTTAGCTGCCAAGCCAAATTGGTGTTACTATTCATATAACATTATATCACACTTGACTTTTCCATTACACTATGGACTTACTTGCACCTACTCAGTCTGTATTCTTCGTATCTAGACTTCCTCTAAATCGAGTGTCAAATTAGCATGACTATCGAAATTTGTACTATATCATCTAACTTGGGATTTCTACTATACAGGTCCTCTTCTCATAGATCCTATCAAGATTTATTCATATAATGTTACATTACACTTGACTTTTCTGTTACACTTCTAATATCTGATTGATATTGGTGCAACATGATTTACAGAGTTACAACTTTAGAAACGAACAGGGTTTATTATAAGTTGGATATAAAGATTTGAGTAATTATTCAAATTTATCAACAGTGGGATTTGAACCCCAGACCTCTTATATGGTAGTCTGGCAACCTAACCACTACACTAAGATCACTAGACCTTTATTCCTACTTAGTTTTTTGCACCTACCAGGCACGAGACATTTCCTATATGATGATCTTCATAGTAATTATTTTTGAGCAACATATGATAGTATGACATACAAAGTATAAATACTAACTCTAATTTTTAAAAAATAATACTTTCAACTTTAAATAAATTTATTTGTTATGTTGTGCGCTTTATTTCTGTGCTAAAATCTCACTGGTCGGTTAAATTTACATAAATTTAATAATACTTGAAAAACAGTATTTTTAAATATAAAAGTTAAGATCTTCTTTTAGTTACTTTAATTTTAAACAATATTTATTTTTTATAAGGTAAAAAATAAAGCACGCATAAAACGATCTTATTGGTATAGAAGTGCTTTACTTGTGACTTTTGGATATTTCTTAGAAGTAACTATTTATTAGGGTAATATAGTAAGTTTAAATTCGTACTTATTTAATCTTTTTATTAACAAAAAGTGGCTTTTTTTTATTAAAAAAAAACTACTAAGATGGGTCCATATCGAAAAGAAATAATATGAATCTGTAGCAATGATTAGAGGTATGAACATAATTTCAAAGATGCAAAAACACAAAAAACTGGCTAACTAAATTTGTATTTGGGCTTTAAAAAATGTTTAGATGACGATTTGCTCTAAGCCTTGCCTCAGATGAATCTTAACAGTTAACTGTTAAGTATAATTTAATTAATTAGAATCATACGAGAGTAGACAATTTCATTAATAAAACTTTTTGGTTAAGAGAATACTTTTTTTTAGCAGGTTAGGAATACTTTTTTTTAGCAGGTTGAGAATACTTTTTTTATTAGTGGGTTTAGGAATTCTAAAAAATATTTTTTATTAGTGAGTTTGGAAATAACATACTAGAGAATACTTTTTTATTAGCAGGTTTGGGAGTATTTTTTTAGCGAGTTGGAAATACTTTTTTTATTAGCAGGTTTAGGAATTCTAGAGAATATTTTTTATTAGCAGGTTTGAAAATAACATACTAGAGAATACTTTTTTATTAGCAGGTTTAGGTGTATTTTTTTAGCAAGTTGGGAATACTTTTTTTTATTAGTGAGTTTAGGAATTCTAGAGAATATTTTTTTATTAGCAGGTTTGGAAATATCATACAAGAGAATACTTTTTTATTAGTGGGTTTGGGAGTACTTTTTTTAGCAAGTTGGGAATACTTTTTTTTAGCAGGTTTAGAATACTTTTTTTATTAGCAGGTTTAAGAATATTTTTTTATTAGTAGGTTTGGAAATATCATACAAGAGAATACTTTTTTATTAGCTGGTTTGGGAGTACTAGAGGATACTTTTTATTAGCGGGTTTGGGAATACATTTTTTATTAGTGGGTTTGGGAAAACTTCATTATTTAATAGAAAAGCATACTAAGTTTTTGATATAAGACCAAGATATTATTGATCTGTTAAAAAATTATTTTATTATTATTAAATTTTTTTTTATTCGTTTGATATAATGTAATAGGTAAGGTTTTTTAGACAGACTATTTTTTCAAAAAAAACTATAGTTAAAGGCAAGAAGAAACCCTATTATTCTATATTACCTTCTGTTTCGATTATTTCTCCAATATATCCTGATTCTATCAACTGTCCAACTATATGGAGAGATCATATTAAGTACTTCAAATACTCTAATAACTTCAGAAATTAGCAGAGATGAGATATTTTTAAATAACGGGGAAAGTACATTTTTTTCTGCCTCTGTAGTTATTCGACATCTTGGTCTCTCATTATCTTCCACTTGCATAGGGAGTAAAGTTTCAAGAGAATGTTGTTGTATTTCTAGAGGATTATTTAGTAAAGAATATAAGGTTTCCTCCTGAATAATTATTTTACTAGTTTTCTTTTTTTCTTTTCTCATTTTTTCAAGTTTAGCGTATATATAATAGTCTACATCTCGAGCACTGCATTTAGAAGTTACTCGAGGTTCTGTTTTAAGAATATCTTGCCTTAGTATTGCTTCAAGATGTGATTTGCCAGACTCATAACAGGCAAGAATTTTCTTAATACCCTTCTCATTGATTCCTAGTGCACCTTTGAACAAACCATTCATTGCTAAATCTTGATTTTTAAATGCGAATATTAATTTTGTAACTAGTGACCAAAGAGAATCCTTGTGAGATATAATTGAACGAGAATTTTGATTTATCACTATGTCATCAGTGAATTCTGCAAGAAGTATTGACAACTGTTCTCTTTCGCTTTAGGCTACTTTAATCTTTAGCATTATATTTTCCTGATTAGTAAGATTTCCAGCAATATTTTGCTTAACGAATTTTACTCCGTATGTTTCAAGTGCCTCATCAAAAGCAAGATAATGTTCTTCACGTCTAAGATTCACTGAGCATACTATTTCAAGCAATTTTTGTAGTTGCAGATCATCGTGAACTTGCAACAAAAAGTACACAACAGAAGTTGCATACTTAGATTTACCAGCTACAGGAAAAAGAGGTGCAAAAGCAGTTAGGTTGGCTATCTGCATTTTGTAGTTTCCTTTTCTGATTCCAATTTTATACCCAATGAAATATCCTGCTCAGTGAAAGAAGAGGTACCATATTTTCATTAGGTAATTATTTTCTTCTAAGATGTTTCGCATCGAATTCCCTTGATCTTTGATATATTGACATAAAGTGATTCTAACTGCAATCCAAATTATTTCAAAAACTTGGCATATTGCTTAGTAATCGATTACATGTTCAAATTTATCCAAGTATCATGTACCAAGAGCAGCAGCTAAATTAAATAGCCCATATCCAAAAAATAGTGTAATCAATACATTACACATATCTTTGAATATGTGCTATTGTTCCAAAATAAGCTGAACGTCTGAATGTTTTTTTGCATAAGAAGTTAGTCTTCCAAAAATCACTTGATCACACTCAATATAAAGATTATTATTATTACCAATAGACAAATCTTTGTGATATATTTCACATAAAGTATGAACATTACTATCACAGTTTGGTTGATCTCCGGATTCTAATATTACTACATTAGGTTTAGGGATATTACAACCTGAAAGTATTTCTTTCATAATTTCTAAATATATATTTTCTATTTCAAATTCATTATTTTTTTCTAATAGTGTATTTAATGAAGTTTCGTATAGCATCAGAAGATTATTAGTGAACACAAATTCACCAAATAATGGTTGATTAACAAGTTTACCATTTATATTATCAAGCATTATAGGAAGGATAAATTGAAAAACTATTCGCAGTGTCACATGAGAGGTCTGGCATGTGACATCAAAATATTTCCTGTTGCGAAAGTGCTAGTTTTAAAATCGATGTTATCGATGACTGCTAAATTCCAGATGTTTGGTCCTTTAATTAGTCTTTTGAGAGGATTTACTTGAAGTATTCTGAATTTCTCAAGCTGATTTTCATATCGTTTCATGTACAATACAACATTTATTAAATAGAAGATTTCGTGTAAGTTTAGTAATAATTTAGGATTTTGGCATAATGATGATATAACATGTATAAGCCAAAATTTCGTCCTAGGAAAAGTCATAGTCAACAGTATAGAGGTAATAAAGGCAGTGATTTTTGTTATCTGGCTTGTATCAAGAGATTTTAGGAAAAGTCCATTTTTATTTCTCTTATTGTTAATAACTAATTATTTCTTTTGTTGTATTACTGCAATCAGGGCTTGAAAGAAGTTACGAACGATATTTGGCAATGCATTGAAATACTCTTTATATGAGGCTGGATTTTCTAACTGGTTTGTACTTAGTTTAAACTCTGAATTCGACGATAAAATCTCTTTTCCTATTTTTTTTCCTATTGCTGTTGCCTTTTCTGATGTAAATTTATAATATTTTTCTGTTAAATTATTTATATCAGTTTTCACTATCTTCAGTGCAGTTTTAATGAGGAAGATACTAGGAAGATTTGTTTCTATTTCTAATGAGCTTTTACTATTTATATCATTATTTAAAACTTGAAAAGTTGGTGTTAATAATGATAATAGTTTTTCTTTCAATTTTTGATCACCCGACTCCCCCACAGATATTACTTATTTTCTAATATCTATTAAAGCATTACTTGTATCACTTCGGAGTTTTCCAAGTTCAGTACATAGCATAATTTTTTTCCTCTTGTCTAGCTTTTCATACAAATATCCACTCTGTTTTTGGAAGCATCTTGAGCATACATAACATGCATGATATCTCGAATATAAAGGTTATGCAATAGGTTTCTTAGTAAGTGCCAAACATTTATAAATATCAATACAAGGTACTTGAATATTACGCACATTAATTTTCTATGAATGCTCTTTGCAACTATTGCTATAGCTAAAAAAGTATTTTTTTTTATAACAGAAAATACAAATACAGAAGTGGATATTGCTTTTCTTAGTCAAGAGCAGCTGTTTTGCATCTTTATGATGAAGTTGGTTCTGATTAAAGGCAAAATGGGAATGGTATATTCCAAGTTAGTGAAAATGACTCTTAATATCTTTGAATTCATCTGCATCTATCTCCCATGTCCCTATCATTTGCCTTAATGGATGCAACTTTATTTTACTATTACAATATCTTATCTCGCCTTCAATAATATCTATAATGACACATAGTGTTAAATCTGAACTTTGAATAGAGGCTTCTTCAATTTCTATATCTATGTCATTGTTGTTATCAAAATTTTTATTGTTATCTTCATAATCTTCATTTTTATAACCTTCATTTTCATCTTCATAATCATCACTTTCATCATTTAGTAAGAATCGAGAATTTTCAAGAGCAATTTCATCAACAAGAAAAATATCTTCGCTATTATCAGAAGTGCTATATTTCTCAAGATTCATGCAAGTAAATTCTGAGTCGTTTATTTCTGAAGTTATTTTTATTGTAATAGTTGAGAGTTTATATAATGATTCAAATTTTGTAGGGTTTATTGAAGGCAATATGCAAGGTCTTTTATAGGTTTTTCATCACAATTTCCTTTGACATCAGTACGACTTCCTTTCCTATTTCATCTAACCTGTCTTAGACTGTGTTCCTTTTGAATTTATTCACGCTTCATATATTACTTATGCCCTATACGTCATCCTTCAATCTTGCAAATATTAATGAGTCATTGATAACTATATATCTATAGATAGATAACTAAATAAGATAAACAATTCATAGAAATATATAAATAACATAGTCATTTATTTTGGCAATGTTTATAACTTATTGAATCAGCCAATGTTGTTATATTGATTATTAGCTATTTATACAGGGAATTAAGTTAATGAGCTATTTAAGGTTATAAAATCATTTATTTCTAGCAAATATTTATAATATATTCATTGAATAATATTTATGCATTACATTAAATGTGTGGTATAGTAGAGATGCGATCTGAATATTCGTTAGTTTAATTTTATAACAAAATTATTATGAAGAATTCAGATATCCGTTAAATTTTAAATAGGAAAACAGATAATGGATCGTATTTCTATGGTGCAGAGTGAAAATCTCCAAGTAAATATTTATCATTGTAGTGGACTTATAATATAATAAGTTCATAACTTAAATATTTACTTATAGATTTTCATCACACAAATTGTACATGATCCAAAAAGACATGGATATTATATAGATATAATAGGCTCTCTTGGCTATTTGGGTGAAGATCTACATTAATTTGTATAATAAGGTGAGAATATTTTCATTTAATTCGATTTTATTTTCATAATTTTGATAAAATTAATTTATTGAAATAGATTATACAGGCTCTCGATATTCATTCGGTATGCTTTATATTATTGTAACTTTATCTGAATAGAAGTTGTATAGGCTAAAAAGAATACACTAATGCATTGGAATCTTTATAACAGTTGTTTGCTTCACTCGCTATAGCAGTCATACATTTTCTTTTGGATTAATAGTTTATTTAAATCTTCAGCTAGTTCATTTTCGTTTATTATTTGATAAGTTTGCTATGTAATTTATTATTCTTTTAAATAAATCTAGTTAATTATTTATTTGATCTTTAAGTGGCTCCTTTTTTCTGTTTGTCACTCAGTGAGTTTCTTTTATTTAATGTAAGGTTAAATTATAGTTAATTATTTTATTTAAATTGTAAATAATTCTAACTCTAACTTCTTTCAATTTATAGATTATTGTTTTATTCGAATAATTACTTAATATGGTTAATTTTTAATAAATAAGTTTTTATTTCTGCGAAGCTCCTAACAGCTAAGCACAAAGCCAGAATTTATTATTGTTTGAACATAATTACTAATTTATTATAAAATAGTGGCCTATATACTGTATATCAGATATAAGTTTAGAGTAATTATAGCGGAAATGGCCATAAAATATCTACATTTTATGGACGCATATTTGATAATAAACTTGCGCCAGAAATTTTACTGAATGAGACCTGACTTTACTTCAAAACTCCTAACTACCATATTAAATAAATTATATATGAATGTCTAACAGGTAATCAAATTTATGTCTGGCCTTTTATCAGCTCAGGTGGTGTGAATATATAATCATAGTTGAAATGTCTTGTGTGGTATGAATTATTATTATATTTAATAGGGTTTTAGTCATTATCTGCTACATATATGAGCAAAAATCTCTTTTTTGAGATTATTTAATGCGAGTGATAAGTTTAAATAAAATTTTAACTAATCATATATGTGATGTGGCATGATTACTAAGGATAAGCAAGCCTATTTATGAATATATTTTAAAAGATAGGTTTTGTAACAATATTACTTGATCATTTTATTACTGTACATCATCTAATTATAATAACCAGTATTTAAGATGTATATTTTCATCCATATATATGATAAAAAATATTTTATTTACTAGAACTGGGTTATTAAAAAATATAGTAAATTTATTATAGCAGACAGTTTAGGAAGTCCAATTATTCTTTTTTTATTTATGCTATTTAATAAACTACAGTAGATCATAAACAATTCATTTCGCTAATTAAAATTTTTGCTTTCGATTCATTGAGTGCAGTATGTGATAACTCTCGTATCTAAACATTAAAGAACCAAGTTATTAGATTGAAGAGCAATAATCCTACTCACATAATTGCATTTTCTAATTGAGTGCGCAGAGGAAAATAGCAAGTAAATATTTAAGTTATCATTGTAGCAGCCACTACAATGATAACTTAAATCTTCACTTGCAGGTTTTCTCCCTGCAGCACACTATTAATTCAATTAAGTTTTGACCTTAATAAAGCCCAAGTTGCATTCAGAAAGAAAGCCTAAAACACAAAAGATCTATTCTTGAACAATTAGAAGACAAAGTACTGTCGTTGCCAGCTCACGTTATTCAACAAACTTAACATATACAAATTAAATATTTGATCATAAAGAAAACTTAATTAGCAATTGGTTTATTTGAAGGGTTTGTTCACTGAAAACTCGTTTATTATGATCAAATTAGATATGTTTGTCAAGGTATGCTAGTACTAAAATATAAAGTGGTTATTGTTGTTTGTTGACTAAATTGAAATGTCTTAGTAGCTAATCGTCAGTAAACAACCATCTTTTGAGAAATACATTAGTGAAGCAAACACTAACTACGTTCGTATCTGATCCAGATTAACTTATTACAGGGGTTTGAGCACTTTAACTTTATTTCAAGATCTTTTTTGAATTATGAATATTAAAAAGTTAAAATTTATTTAGTTTAATAAAAAAATATTATAGTTTTAATTTCGAATTAGAAAACAAAAGCGAAAAAGTTGTATAAACACGGGTTACTATAGTAGTATTATTACTGGAATATGAAATTTTAATATAAAAATCAGGTGATCGATATGTTGATCTTACTAATAACAATATTTCGAACTCTTGTAAAGGGAAATGTCCTGTGCCTGCTACTTATCTCTTTTAGTTTTTTGAATTTTTATTTTTATTTTATTTGTGAGGATTTAGTCTACTTCCAAAAAAAGATTAATAATATCATGTCAAAATTAGTAAATACTATATATTTACAATATAGATGCTGGTGAAACTGATGAAACTCTTGGTGAATAGTGGTAGATGGTAGTAAAACTAGTGAAATTTAATATAACAACTAATCGTATTTTAGATAGTTACTAGTTTCACCAGCATCATTTAGTTTCACAAGCATCTATAGTTTACAAACAACCTAATAGTAAATAATAATATATGTAACAAGATAAGTATAGTCAATAACAAATTTAGATATCTTCTAGTATCAGAATAAAGGTTATTAAATTAGAGATATAAAGTACTTTGTAGTATCAGTATTTTATACAATTTTTATAAAAATCTCAAATACTATAGAGATAGTAGTATTACGAGCAGTTCTTTATTAATCTGCAAATTTTTAGGTAGCAAAAGGTTTTTCACGGTTATTATTCAAGGCACCAGTTTATTTATCAGTAAACAAACAAAACCAAAATCAATAAAATCAAAAATAAAAGAAAAGAAAATGTTATTTCCAA